AACTAAGATAGGAATATACTTAGTTGACATAAGCATTCTTGAAGGCCTAAGAACTTAATGACTTTGTAGCTGGAATCAATCATTGGAAAATAGGTTGTTAAGGTTGCAAAGATGACTCTAGGAAAAATGGGAACTGACTTAGAGTTATAAGTGAGCTGAATGAACAAGAACGTAACCATTACAGTGCTCATCAAACAGCTACAACAGTAGGAAGAGAAGAAGAACACCCCTGGCTTTCATTTCCCTGAGTGACTGTCTTCATTCCCCTGAGTGACATTTTGTCTGACTGGTAGTTTTTCTTACAACAAATTTGGTAATTAGCTGTCCTCGTGGGATCGACCTAGCTTCCATTATCTACAAAATCATAATCCAAGCTAGTAATATTTTTTGTGAACTCGGCAAGCACCAGTGGGAGGACCCTGATTTTATTAATATAAGAGAAAAGATTACACAAGATAATGCTTAAGACTTACCCAAACAGAAATGAAGATCGTCTTACAAAAGTTTTCGAAAAACTTCCTGACGACTCCTTTGCAATTACAACTACGAATTGTCTTACAAAGATATTGCCATATCTCTGACAATTCCTTAAAATTTACCTTCTAAAGGCAAGGAGAATGTCTTACAAAGATTATGCATTAATTCCCTGACCTCTCCATCTAGTCTAGAGATATCATCTAAAGAAACTATCTGATTCAAATATAAGGAAAGGAACACTTGTCAAGATACCATTTACCTAACAAAGAGACTGGTAAATGTTCTCGGTTGACATAGTGAAGAGTTGATCCATGTGATGCCATTTTTGCAAGTTCATCTGCCATGCTGTTGACCTCTCTGAAAACATGTATGATTTTTGAATGTGAGAGAAGAATCATACTTTGGATTTCCTTAAGCTGATAATGATACTTCCATGGGTAACGCTTATTCTGGTGTAGTAAGTTGACTATCGCTTGATTGTCGGATTGGACAACTACTCGAGATATTCTTTTTTCCATGCAGTATCTAAGACCATTGATGATTGCTGCCAATTCTGCCTCAAAACTTGTTGCGAGTCCTATGTATTTACATTCCGCGCTGATAAAGGTACCTTTGCTTCCCCTGAGCACATATCTCCATCCTGCTGCTCCTGGTTGACCTAGTGTCAATCCGTTTGAATTAAGAGTTGTTTCGCCCAGTTCTGGCAGCTGCCATCTAAGTGATATTGCTGATTTTGGCTTGAATGGATCCACTTTAAATTGAAAGGCTTGTTCAATTTCTTTTTGCTCCTCTATGGTACTAGCTTTTAGCTTATGCACACTCAACATGTTGAAAATGTGAGACTGAATAGTTTTAGAAAGAAATATCAAAGAAAAACCAATACCTTCATAGAGCATTTTATTCCTATATTTCCATATCTCCCATAATATAAAGACAGGTACAACCATGGTGATTGTCTTTTTGGCGGAGGAAAAATTCCCAATGGATTGCCAAGCTTGCACAGTATTCCTCCAACCTGCATCATTATCAAAAGCAATCCCTAGATTAGCCAAAAATTTTGTCATACAGGTTTTATCTTGGGACAATGAAAGAAGACATGCTCAATATCCTCCTCATCATTTCTACAAAAAGTACACCTCGATGGTCTTAAATGAAAACCTATTTTTTGCAAAACCTCCGGGAAAGACAACATTTTGTTAAAAAGCTTTGACATGAAAAAAGATATTTTTAATGGTATGCATTGATGCCAAAACTTTGCAAGCATCGGGATTTTAGGTTTTTTTTTCCTGAAATATAAGCAAAGGAAACAAAAAAACTCCCTGAATCACTTGGCATCCAGATTAGTCGATCCTTCCTCTCTGTAAAGTGAACCGACATAGATAAGAGCTGATTCTTCATTTCTTGGCTTAGCACATTTTCGAATTCCTGCAAGAAAAAGGATTTAGAAGCAAAAAAATCCTTCACTAATAGATTTTGCAATGGCGGGATTGTTGAGTCGTTCCATAGAGGTGTAGTGCCCAACCATGAGTCAAAGCACAAGGAGGATGAGCCATCTTCTAAAAGGATTTCACAATGCTCTCTTGCCAAAGTATCAATCTTTTTTATCTAACCCCAACTCATTTTTTCCTTTGCTTAATCCGACAATGAGGATACAAATGCAGACCACACTCCATTCTTATTCTGAATTTTCCACCATAATTTTATTGAGAAAGCATTGATGGTGTCATCTACAGCTCGAAATCCAAGTCCATTCTCTTCAGTCGGAAAACCTAATTTCTTCCAAGTTCGCCAATGCCTATTCGGACCATAACCACTAGCACCCCAAAGAAAATCTTGACATCTCTTTTCAGTAGCTACAAGGATTGATTTTGGAGGAACCAAAGTTGCGATTGTATGAATCGGTATCGCACTTAGCATGTGTTTAATCAAGATCAATCGCCCCCCTGTTGATAGTAACCGATTTTTCCAATTGCTTAGCTTTATATCCATAGCCTCTAAAAGATGATAAAATTACGCCACTTTCTTTCTGCCCTTGAAGAGAAAGCAACCAAGATATTTAAAAGGAAGGGAGCCTTTTGGCTTTTGGAGAGTTTGTAAGATGGTATCAACTTGTCGCTCACTACTCTTTTTCGATGTTATGAACATGCTCTTTTGTTTATTCATTTTCTGGCCCATCGCATCTTCATAATCCGTGAAAAAATCATTCAACCTCTTCATGGAATTTTTCAAACCCTTAGTAAAAATAATAAGATCATCCGCAAAGCATAAATGCGAGACTATGACCAATCCTGCGGGAACTCCATATAGGGCAATTTTTCCAGCATTCGTTAATGCTTTCAAATTCCGGGATAAAACTTCTGATACAAGGATGAATAAGTAAGGAGAAAGAGGGTCTCCTTGTTTATCCCTCACGTGGCCTGAGAAAATCCATTCGGACTACCATTCAAAAGAATCAAAAACCAGCTTCGTTCAAGATTCGACATTACTAGGGCAATGAACCTTTCCTGAAAACCAAACTTGCATAGAGTCTGTTGTAAGAAGCTCCATGAAACCCTATCAAACGCCTTCATCATGTTGACTTTTATTAAAAAAATAACCCCCTCTTGATGGATGATCCAGAAATTGAAGAAAGTCTTGTGTCATTAGCACATTATCAACGATATCTCGGCCCTGAATAAATGTTGATTGCTCCTCGGAGATTAGTCCGGGAAGTATAGGTTTGAGCCTTTCTATGAGCAATTTAGTGAAGACCTTGTTAATGAAGTTACACATGCTAATAGGTCAGAAATCTGCAAAGGATGTCGCCGTGGTCTTCTTCGGAATCAAAGTGATTATTGTGCTTCCAATAGCTCTCGGTGGGGGAGTTCCGGCAAAGAAGTCTTCACAAGCCGCCTAGAGGTCCTGATTTATTATGCTCCAACATTTTTTATAAAAGTCTCCACCAAATTTGTCGACACGAGGAGAGCTCAATGGATCAAGACTAAAAACAACATTCCTTATTTCTTCCAAGGTAAGGAGTTGCAACAAGTTGTCATTGTCCAGCTGAGTCACCTACGCTGGAATACATTTTAGAAGCTTCTCACATGCTTCATCATGATTCATTGATTCCTCCTTCGTGAGCAGGGCTTGAAAGAAATTAATTGCCTCCTGTTCGATGCTTGCTCAATCATTAATCCAAGTACCATCAGATTTTTGTATTTTATGTACACCCAGGCAAGCCTTCTTTTCCACAAATGATGCATGAAAAAATGATGAATTCGAGTCCCCGTCCTGCAGCCATTTTAACCTGGATTTTTGCTGAACGAAATCCTCTTGCTCACACAGCTTATTCAGGAGATGAGCATGAGCCTTATGCAATTCAGCACGATCCAATTCATTACCAGATAGATCATATATCGATTCCTTAATGCGGAAATTGTTTTCAGCATTCTTTAAATTTTGATGTACATCTCCATATTCAGCTTTATTCCAAACTTTCAGAAATTCCTTTAATCTTCATAGCTTCAATGAAAAGGCAAGCATTCCCTTCTGTTTAATTGGTTGACTCCAGTATTCTTTTACAAGCTCTAGAAAATTTTCCCGTCGAAGCCACATTCACTGGAATCGGAACATTCTTGGTCTGGCTTCCTCATCCGATTTGTACTCCGGCAACAACGGCGAATGATCAGAAGTGGTACGATTAAGATGGTGGATTGATGAAGTTGGAAATTTCGACAGCCATGGTTGATTAAACAAGATTCTATCAAGCCTCTTTAATACTCTTCCATTTTGACGCATACCCTTCCAAGTGTAAAGATTCCCAACAGGCGGTAAGTCCAGGAGTTCACAATCATTAATCCATCCATTGAAATCGTCAATAGCACCCAAATCGGTTGTGATGATCCCTCATATTCATCCATGTTACGTATCACATTATAATCCCCCAAACAATCCAAGGTTCCATAGAATGTCGCTGTTGAAAAGTTTTCAATTCAGACCATAAAGAACACTGTTCCTGTCTGGTTGATTTTGCATAAATGGCAGACAACAAAAATCCGCTTGAAGAAGTTACATGCTCCAATCGTAAGTGTAGAACCTGTTCTGTACCACCCAATCCCGTGACAATCCAATGCTGCGAGCTCAGTACCCAGATTTTTCCATATTGAAGACTTGGTTGAGATAAAATGCAATTTATTTTTCAGCTCTTCAAGCTGAGAAACCGGTTGCATTGGTTCTTGTAAAACAACTAAAAAGAGAGAATGCATTTTGACCAAATTTTTTAAATGTCTAATCGATGCTTTATTGCCAACACCACGGATATTCCATATAAGTATATTACTCATCGAAAAATCTTTTTTGGGGAATCACCTTGCAATCTCGTCGAGTGACGAGTTTCTGAATCTTTGACCTGTGTTCCCTTCTTGTAGCCTCTCGGTCTTCCTCTCTTTTTCTTTTTTCCTTCACCATCAGAAACCACCAAACGTGCATCCGCAATTTCAGTTTGTCAGTTCAACATTGTCGTCATCGCGACTTCTATTTTCCAGTCAATCCATAGTTTCATCATAGGCCATTTTTGTGTCGGAATCACTCGCAATTTCATCCAGAAATTCATTTTCTTGATTAACAAAACCTGCCTCTGAGACACCAACCTGTTCTACTCGCAAATTAGCTAAGATATCAAACATGGCTGACAAATTAATTGGAGGAATAGTAGCTAATGGCTCCTTATACACAATCAATTGAGTTTCAGTCTTTTCAAAATCATCCATTTTTCCTTCATCGTCCCATGTTTTTCCTAAATTCTCTTCCTTAGAGCTTTTTTCAAGTATCGCACTCAACTTTTCCTTGGAGAGTAGCCGATTACCTTGCTGAGTTGGTGGACTAAGATGATCAACATCAATTGGAATTTGGATTTTTTCTTTTTCTGTCAGTCCTGAAGTAGAAGCCTCTTTGTGACTATCAACAGTTTTCATCTCGTTTTCGCTCATGTTTCCCTTATTCGTCCAAACGTGAGTTGTTGCGGTAGGTTTGTTGGGAGGCTCGAAACCTGATTTCTTAAGAATTGTTGGATTCTTAGTTGTCGTGGCCGCGCGATTTGTGGTTGCAGGACAATTTTCCACGGGGTTTCAACTTTACATGATGACAATTTGCAGCCGAGTGTCCAATCTTTCTACACTCCGTACAGTAATCCGGAAGATTTTCATATGTTACCAGCTGATAATACAAGTTTTCAGTTGTCCCAAGCCGGATTCTGGACGGAAGATCATGAAGAAGCTTAACCTCAACACAAACTCTCGCAATTGACGAGCGAGACATGTTTAACGTTGGTATGTTAATCTTTAGCGGTCTCCCGATAATTCCTACCAGTTTTCTCAAATAGTCTTCATTAAACCTGTGAATCGACAGTCCTTCAAATGCAACCCATACTGGAGCGATGGATGATTCGTTATCCGGATTGAAATCCGGCGTCCACTTCAAAACCCTCATCACGTGATTATCAAAATTCCAGAGCGCCTTAATCCAAAACCTTTGAAAATCCTCCTCTTGATCAAAATATATCAGAACGTGGCGATGATCAATCATACCCAGTGAAAATTCTCCTTTCAAACCAATCTTTGGAATTGATTCCATTGGTACTCCATTGATGGCCTTCCTTTCAAAAATTTTCCGATTAATGCCAACTTGAAAGGCTCCGCAAGCTTGTCATCCTCCTCTTTTGTCAACAGGAAACATGGCTCCCCTTTGTAGATCGTAGGGTTTGAAGTGATAAAAGAATCTTCAACTTTGAATTTCTCAAACCCTTGTTGCAGTTTCCGGGGATTAGGTTTAGCACCGTTAAGAATTTGCGCGAGTGACAAATTCTTGGCGTGAATGTTATCCGGCGACCGAGCGGCCGCCATGAAAATTAGGGTTCGTAAAGTTTGAAAACCAAGAGAGAAGCGGGAGAATTCTCACTGGAACGTTCTAAATTGTTGTTATGACTGATTATAAAATATCTCAATTTAAAGAATTAGGCATAAATGTTTTAAATAATAATAATAATATTATCGAATTTTTAAAATCAATTAAAGATCAAGAATAATTGAAATAGTTGGTGATATCCCGAGCAGTAGTAGTAATAGAGAAGAAAGTTGGAAATAAATAACAATCCATATGCAATGATACAAGTATTTAAAATGTTTAAGGAAAAGCCTAATAGTTTAGAGAAATTTCCTACTATTGTAAATGATCTAGGAGGGAAGATTAATCATCTCAAAGAAGAAATAAAAACTTTAAAACAACTTAATAAAAGTTTGGGGAAAGAGTTTCTAACTTACAAAATAAGAAACAAATAGATTCTTATAAAAATAAATGAGACGAGAAATGACAAAGTTTAAGGATTTCTAGACTTAATAACCTCTTTAAATTTTATATTGTTATTAAATTATTGGTAAATCATAATATCAATTAGAATAGGTAGAATTGATTGATAATGTTGTTGACGTAATACAAGAAGGAAGTATTTCTACTAAAAATTATGAAAAAACTACTTATGTGGTAAGACATGCTGGGAAAAGTTTAGGATATAAATTATAAATTATATAAAGAATATATTTGCAATAATCAAGTTTGTATTCCTGAAAACTATATAATAGTTAAACATTTGACTGGTCAAGTTATACTTGGAACTCCTTTTATAAAAAGAATTTTACCAATCACACATATTGATGTTTATAAAAAGATCTGTATTTTTAAGTTTATAATTAAACAAAATACAAGATTGATTAATGAAATTAAAGATCTTATTTTCGTGAAAAAATAATCAAATTAAATTTTTAAAGTTTGAAATTAATATATTTCAATAGAAGAGGATTTAAAAAAAATCCTAAATTATAAGAAAAAAATTAAAATAGTATATAATAATATCTCTACAGAAATTTGTAATGAACATCCTAATTAATGCCTTTTGGGTTGGAAAGAGACATGTTATTAATCTTTCATATGAAGAAGATTTTGATGAGAAAATAATGATTAAAACAAAGCTGAAACCTTGTCAAATGAATTATGAATATTTAGAATTATGTAAAAATAAAATGAATATTTAGAAAATCAATTAATTAGGAAGTCAAATTCTCCATGATCATGTACTAAGTTCTATGTTAAGTCAAGCTTAGTTATAAATTATAAATCTTTTAATAAAGTATTAAAATAGATTAAAATATTCAATTCCTAATAAGAAAGATTGATTGGATAGATTGTATGATTCATTAATATTTTCAAAATTTGACTTGAAATAAGGATATTGGCATATCTAAATTTTTGAGTCGGACTATTGTAAAACTGCTTTTAATGTCCCAGTAGGTCATTTTGAATGGAAAGTTATGCCTTTTGAACAAAAAAATGTACCTTCAGAATTCAAAAGATAATGAATGATATTTTTATTCCTTACAGTGAATTTATAATTATTTGTATCGCTAATATCTTAGTATTCTCTAAAGGTATCCAATCACATTTTGATCATTTGAATATATTTCAGAAATTAATAAAATAAAATAGATTTGTTATATCTCAACCAATAATGTCTTTATTCAAACAAATGTTAGATTTTTGGGGCATAATATTGAGAAAGAAAAAATAATTCCTATTGACAGAAGTAGATTTTGCTTCTAAGGTTCCAGATGAAATCATATATAAAATTCCATTGGAAAGACTTTTGGGAAGTTTAAATTACATTCTACCTTATTATAAAAAGGAAAAATCTAGATTCCCGTTGGCTATTTTTACGAAACCGACCCGTTTTTTCTTCAATAATTAATATTGAGGATATAAGATGTAATCATTGGGTGAATAACATTCTAAACGATCCCAAACTAATTTCTCTTTTTAAAAAAATTAAAAAATTATTTTAACCTGCTGAATAGAAAATTATTATAACAGAGTTGACAAGTCAAGAATTTAACGACTATAAAAAAAAAGTAAAAGAAAAAATTCAAAAATAAAAGAATTATCTTCTTCGCCCAACTCCCTTTGAAAAAGCGGTCAAATACCACCCTCACCCTCCTCCTCCATTTTCAATTGCCGAAAACCTCCACCTCCTTCCAAACTCCTTGTCATTTTTTGTTTTTTTCAAAAAAAACTAGACTAAATTAAATCAATAGAAGAAGGTGAAGAAAAAAGAGAAATGTAAAGAGAGAGATAAAAGGCAAAGAAGAAGAAGTGGTGTTTTGAATTCGCTACCACCGTAACGTCTCTTGTAAAAAATCTGTTCCGCCGGTAGATTTAATCAGGTAGATTTAAGTATATTTACTTATGATACAACTTCATTTTAATCATACGGTTATTAATTAGCCTAATTAATCCTACGGTTATTATCATAAAACAAAACCATCCCGTAACGGGACTCTAGCCGCTCCCTTATAAAAATTTAGCTTATGATACGGCAATTTTGTATGAAAGCTTAAAAAAGGGTCTAAAATCTTGGACATAAGAGCATACTAGAACTGTTAAAAAAAAATAATGAATAAAGGGAAAATATTAACATGTTTAGTTTTGGGAAATCTATTTTTTAACTTTATAGTTTTGCGTGAATATAAAAGTTTTTTCTCTTTCTCTCTCTCCGTTCTCGGCACACGCTAGCATCATGTGCCAGCCATGGCTGGCCGAAAGAAGAAAGAAAAAAATGAGCACAAAACAATTATAGAAAGGCAACAGAGCGATGAGACGTCAATTCATCAAAGAAGGAAATTAACGGGGGCACATCAATTATCAAAGGAAATGCGCGGGATAAGGGTCAAAACCCAAGAGGATGAATTGAATCGGATTGTAGCAGAAATTGAGGGTTCTTCGAACAAAGGGGAAAAGGGGAAGAAAAGCACCAATCGGCTCAGATGGAGAAGAAGACCGAACCAAGATTCAGTCACTTGAGTAAGGGCTGCAGTTCTGGAAAAATCCAAGATCCACTGGAGCCTAGGGTTCGTACGGATCCAGTAAGGCGACAATTGGAGTGGTCTTCGAAGCGGGATGGATCTCCAGTAGCTGGGGCGAAAAGGATGCTGGTAAATTCAAAACTCTTTCTGGAAAATTGCAGTTTATCGTCCCAAAACAGATTGAAGGGCAGAAGATTTCGTAGATGCAATTGGATGATGTTCAGTCGGAAGCACAATTTTGGGACTCCTCTGTTGTTTGTTTTGTTCTGCGGGCAATGGAAAACTATTTTAGTAAGATATGGGGGACGCAGGGTATTGACAAGGTACTCATTCTACAAGTGGTCTTTTTGTTGTCCGTTTCACTACTACAGATATGATTCTGAATGATAATTATTATCATTTCGGAACTAAACCCTTAATTGTAAAGCCTTGGGATGTAGAAAAAAGCCTGAAATATAGTGATATAAAGAGTGTCCCTATGTGGATTAGGCTATATTGACTGGAGTTGAAATATTGGCACCTAAATTCATTAAGCAGACTAGTTAGCTCAATTGGTACGCCTATCCTAGCTGATGACTTCACAGTCAGAAATGATAGAGTTCAATATGCTTAGGTGCTTGTGGAGATGGAACTAACTGAAGAGGTGCCTGATAAACTGGTGTATGACAATGAAAGGGGAAATGTAAGAGTCCAGAAAATTGTATATGAATGGAAGCCATGTAAATGCAGGCATTGTGATGAATACGGACATGAGGGAGATCAATGTAGGAGACAAAGGGATAAGCTAGAAAAGAAACCAGTATAGCTAACTCCTGAATGGCGGAAAGTAGCAAAGGAGAGTACTAAAGTGGTTACTCCTGAGGTGGAAGTGGTGATTACGGATACTAAGGATACCCCTGTCGAGATCCTGCATAAAGCGGGAGCTCCAAAAGCGGTAAATGTGTTAGATCACCATAAGTCACCTAAAGGATTACATGGAGATCAAAATATAAGAGGTAATCATACAGGCAAGATTCCAGTGCCATAGATACTGAGGAGGCTACCGCTAACCAGCCTCGAATGGGGGTGGTTAAAAAAGTTGC